CCGTGGAAATTTTGAGTAGAACACACAATACTCATTGGCACTAATGTACACAGCGAAACATGTACACATATTTCGCTGTTAGAATATGATACACCAAAGCGAGGTAGTGTAAGTCGGAATGAGGGAAACTCGGCACTTGGTAGGAACGAACGTGGCGAAACTCGGTCATGCGTGCAATGATGATATTGGACATGTAGAGTTTCATTTGAATAAATTGATGATAATTCAATCGTTACATTGAAGATTAGTACACGTACGGAGTAGAAAATTGTAAAATACCCAACAGTTACGTAAATGAGTTAAATAAGTTTCCTTAACAGTAAGTTACATGTGTATTTCTGTGGTACAACCAACGCTCCCAAATAAACTATAAGTTCCATGTGTATTTCTGTGGTACAACCAACGCTTCCAAATAAACTGTAAGTTACATGTGTATTTCTGTGGTACAACCAACGCTCCCAAATAAACTTCATAGTATTGCAATATTGTACACTAGCAAATTATAAAATACTACCTGGTCGTTTCACACTTGGGCATGCTGTCGACATGGAGGATAATGTCGCTACTCAATCTTGCGCTTGGCAATGACCATGAATGCATCCCGTTCAGTTATAGGTAGCTCGCTTTCTTCTGGCAGACATATCCTCCACTCACGTACTGCAATACAGCAGTGCATCTGACCAGCCCAACGAGTCATTATGCTGCCACAGATTCACTCTACAGCCTGAGTTATGGAGATAATTAAAGCAATGAGTGACTCTGACCACCAACGCTCGCAGTCTCTTGTTAACGGGACGGAGCGATCCCGATCCCGAGAAGCCGAACGCGGCGGTCACGTGCGCCGTCAAGCCACTACCCCGTTCGCCTCTCCATACCGGCGTAATCCACCAGCTGTTGACCAGCGGTTTCAACCAGATGTCTACGCCAATGCCCCATTTACGCGAACAAGCGTGTGGCGATGTGGGACATGGCTAACCACAACTACCGTGGCGCAACGGAGGCAATGTGTACCGCATGGCTTAGCAAGGCGTGTGAAGAGTAGCCTCAGACCTAGAAGTGCTCAAGAAGCGTTTGACCACGGCGTTCCGGTTCTATACGACAAATCTGGACGTTGACTCAAGCATTAGCAAGATGCTAGACAACCTGCTGCGAGCCTTGGAGTACGATAACTAAGCGTGGGTCTTGGACCAATTAAGCAAGACAGGTGTCGACATCATGGTCAAGTCGATCAAGCTGCTTGTCCTGCAGAAGTCGGTGCAACGCCAGCTGGCCCTTGGAGCGGGCCGGCGTGGAAGTCAAGGTGATTTCGCCGGAGCCATCCGTGATCCAGCAGTATGGCCAAGCATCTGCCCTCAAGGTCAATCGCCAAGTGCATTTCTAGTTGGTCACCCTGGACATCCCTGTGGACCTGTAGTAGTTGTAATGGGGTGCACAGAGGAAGGTGTGTACAACAAGGTATGTTGTTAACTGAGAGAACTAGCTATCTCTGAGCTGGTTTCCTTGGCGCGCGGCTGCGCGCCAGTCATGCAATTCATGTCAAATGAATGGTGCTGCTGCGGATGTCGCAGAGTCAGTGATTCGAGACATTTGGATTGCCGAGTGTCCTCTCGGGTCAGGATTGGAACTGACCAATGGGATGTCGTGTCCGGATGTTATCCGGACCCCGTTACATCCTCCCACACTCAAACTTGACTTCGGTATACTTTGCCGAACGTGGGACAGGGATTGAGATTCGGAACAATCGTTGGAGAATTCGGAACAGCCGTTGTCGTCAGTAGTCATTGTGTCAAAAGCGACGAAAGCGAAGGATTGGCACCTTCGGAGCGTCGAACTGGAGCGCCGATGGTGGCGGAGCCCGGAACACCCGGGGGCGTAGCCACGAGCGCTGTGGACCGAGCGCACGCTCTCCGTCGCGGAAGCGACGGTGCGACGATGACCGAGGGCGTCCACACCGGCGGAGCATGCCGGATTTTGTGGTGACCTCGGTAAGTGCGGACGATGGTTTCATCCGCACGGATTGGACTCTCCCAGATGTGGGAGACGCGGACTACCCGATGGACCGGGTGGTGTCCGGAATGCGAGCGTCGGCTCGAATCGCGGATGAGCATGTGCGCATGGAGGAGTGTCGAGCTCCACGCAGCGAGTTGCTGCGGCAATACCTCGATGGCGTCGAAGTGGCCGTCAATGTCCTCATTGACATGCGGCCGTGGCGTGCGTCAGTGATCGAATTCGCTGAGCTTTGCGGCGAGCGTAAGTACCGTGGCGAGATCATCGCCAATGTGCGGGTCGCTCCACTGCAGGAGGAGACCACTTGGGAATACGTTGGGCTTTGGTGGGCACGCCTTTTGCGGAAGGTGCCAGTGCCGAACGCATTCCACTACTAGCAGAAGCTGATTGAACACTTAGCAAATTTCGCTAAGTGTCGTGCCGAGCTGCCTCGGCTTGGACTGGATTTCGTCCACCAGATCTCCGAGTACTGTCGAAGTCGCGACAGAGAGCACGAGAGGTGAGTTGGCTGGTATATCCAGCTCTGATGTCCATTGGGATGCCGCGATCAGATACTCGCGGCAATCAGGGGACCAACGAGAGTCCTTCACCATGAGCTCGTGGTGCGGCAAATGCAAACGCTTCAATGACGCGGTTCTTGCCATCTTGTTTCTGCATGAGGACCGCGCCCACAGCGATGTGACTTGCGTCGAGCCAAATATCAAAGGGCAGGTCGAAGTCGGGATGAGCGAGGATGGGAGGCGAGACGAGGCAGCGTTTAAGTTTGTCAAGAGCTACGTCGCAGCCTGGTGTCCAGACGAAGGTATCGTCCGTGATCAAGGCTGAAAGTGGTGCTGCAACCTTAGAGAAGTCTCGGACGAAACGCCTGAAGTAACTTGCGAGGCCGAGGAATGCACGGACTTCTGACACATCTTTGAGCGGTTTGACTCGCAGCACAGACTTGATCTTCTCAGGGTTCGGGAGTATGCCAGCTGGCGTGATTATGTGTCCCAGGAAAGGGACAGACGAGCGACCCCACTTACATTTGGACATCTTGAGCTTGAAGCCTGCTTCTCGGAACTTGGTCAAGACTTGGGTGAGTCGGACGAGATGAGACCCGAAGTCTTCACTGAAGACGATGCAGTCGTCCAGATAAACGAGGCAAGTCCGCCACTTGTAGTCAATCAAGATGTGCTCCATGAGACGCTCGAAGCATGGGACAGCATTACACAGGCCGAATGGCATGACGAGCCATTCGTAAAGTCCATACTTGCAGGTAAATGCAGTCTTCTCGATACTTCCTTGGGACATCGGGACATTCCAAAATCCCGACGCGATATCCATAGTTGAGAAGAGTTTGGCTCGTCCGAGTACGTCCAGTAGGTCGTCGATACGAGGCATCGGGTACGAGTCTTTTACGGTGACGCTGTTGAGTTTGCGGTAGTCAATGCAAAAACGGATCGATCCGTCCGGCTTCCTGATCATGAGGACGGGGCTGGCCCATGGGCTCTTGGACGGTCGGATTAGCCCAAGGTCTAGGTACTGGTTCAGTTCCGCCTCCATGATGTCGCCTTCAGCCTTTGACGTGCGGTAAGGAGCGGATCGGATCGGTTGCGCGTCGCCCGTGTCGATACTGAACACCACTAGATGTGTCTTCCCAGGAGCTTTGGTCGTGTCGACAAATATGTCGGCGAACTTCGCCAAGGTCGCTCGTAGTAGTTCTCGTTGGTCAATGCTGAGACTTCAGTCGGACCAGTTGATGGGTAGTTCCTTCGCTGGACTGGTCGTCGTTTGTACTGGGCAGACGATATTGGGGGCCCCAATTTGAGTGAGGACCCTCCCGGGTATTCCGTTCAGCGGCGCGTCAAACGAGTCGTCCGGCTGCAGGCGAGACGAATGGGGTAGAGACGAAGAAAGATTTTGAGTATGTTTGGTGTACGTCGGGGGTAACGCCATCCAAGTTCCAAGATGTGTGTTGGCTTCGAGCGTGAGCGGTTCATGCGAAGCGTTAGCAAGTTCGATTAGGTCGTGTTGGACGATGTTTTGCAGTATAACGCCGCTGCAATCTGTGCCTGTGTGTTCGTTCGGGGTTCCACGAGAAACGTAGTGGACGAAGGTAGATCAAGTCCGGCCAAGCATGGGACATGTCGAACGGATCGAGGCGGGACGGTAATAGTTTCGGCCACCGTCGTGAGCCCGACCGGGTGTGAAGTAGGTACGAAGCCGTCCAGAGGCTCGAGAGATAGAATTCGCTGTCGGTCGGACAGTGTCAGGGTATTGTCCTTGAGGTTGATGATAGCCCCCAAGTAAGGGAGCAAGTCGAGGCCGACGATGCAGTCTGTCAGCGACGTAGACATGACACAAAAGGGAAACGACACATTGGCGCCAGCGAGATGAAACGAGAATTTTGCGCGGCCCAAAATGTCGAGATTCGAGTTGTCTGCAGTGACAAAGCCCAGACGAGGTTGTTTGAGTGGGGGCTGGCCGAGACGATGCCAAAATGACGCAGTGATGAAGCTACTGGTTGCTCCAGTGTCAATGAGAACCGTTGCTTGTACTCGGTCGATGTACGCTTTGATGAAAGGGTTCGTCGCCGTCTTTGTCCGCCTGTCTGACACAGAGATGCGCGCGACAAGGCGAGATGAAGGTGGGCAGTCGTTGAACAGGTCGTCACAATAGGTCGGGTCTAGTTTAGACGAGCGACGATGGTAGTTCCGGGTCCCATGCAAATGAATGCGTTGTCGAGCCACACTGGACTGGGAAGACTTGTCCGATGGGTAGTCAAGTAGTTCGTTCCAGGAAGCGATAGATGGTTTGGACGAGATTGTTGGACGTGAGATCTGAGTCGTCCAATTAGGCGACGTGCGTGCCCGTGGTGTTGAAGCCTTTGGCATCGTTGTCGAAGGTGAGTTATCAGGCACCGCGTATAGTCCAGGGCAAGGCGAGTCGTCAAACAGGGGGCCGTCGTCGTGAAACATGAGTGTGCGTAGAGAGATGCGGCATTCGAGTCGAGTCCAAGATTGGAGGATGGAGAAAAGACGTGAGTCCTTACCCCGTCGTAACAATTGGGATCGAACAAGACAAGGAAGATGCATTGTTCTCAGGCACATAGGGAGCGTGCTGAGTGTGGCAAGCCGAGACGAAACCTGTTCCCATAAGGTTCATCTCAGCGCCAAAGCCTCAGGCTTGATTTGCGGGCTTGGATGGGCACTTGGCAATGGTGTGTCCAGGCTGGCCACAGAAGTGGCAGAGCTTGACATGTTCTCCTGGGTAGTGTCCCATCTGGCCGCAAGAGTTGCAGCGCATAGTCCGTCGATAGCATTCGCTGGCGCCATGTCCACGACGATCACAACGACCACAGACGTTTTGGCCGCTGGCCGTCATTTCGTCGGGCTTGGACGAGGTCACCACTGGGGTATGGCTAACTCGAGTACGTCCGGCACTGGACATTTGATTCTGTGTCGGTGTCAGGTTCGGTGGAAGGACCGCTTGCCCGGAAGGGTAATGGTATTGGGAGCATATGGTTGTTGATACGGCTGTCCAAAAGTCAAAGTCGCGGGCTGGAGCCGCTTGTTGATAGGCGAAGCCGTATGGTTGCGACGGCTGGATCGGGGCCGCATAATTGGGCTGAGTTTGACGACTCAAGGCGTCGACAAACCCTTGTTGGACTTAGTTCGAACGCTCGATCAAAGCGACGAACGCCTTTTGTTTCTGAGCATGGTTCTTCGTCATGAGTTCGAGAAGTTGCCGCATCGCCGCTTGGTCTTCAAACTCGACATGAGATCCGCGGTGTGACAGACAAGGCGACGCCGGAGGAGTTGAACGTTCACTGGTAGTTGTACGAGACGATGCCGACGTAGAGGCCGAGGAGTTGGATCGAGAATTGGCGTACGTCTGAGGCTTCGCAGATATTTCGTCCAGACGAACTTCACGCGCGCGAAGGAGTTTCATGCAGTCGGCGATCGAGTTGAGTTCGCGGTCGGTGTGTTCGAGACATGACTCTGCCCGGGCGTGTCGGACTCCGCGTTTGAACATGGCAACCCCTTTACTAGCTGGGAAGTCCACTTCGTCCAGGATCGTCTGGAGTCGAATTGCGTACGCCTTTACCGGTTCGTCCATGTAACGCTCAGACGCTTCGATCAGGTTGTCCACGTGGTCGCGAGGAGTGCTGCTGCAGAACTGGTCCACAAAGCTGTCATGGATCC